CATGGGTTTTCTGGTGTGGCACTCAGACTATTACTTGACTTCTATTTGCCGTCTTCAGAGATCTTATCTGTAACTGCTTTTAAATCAACATGTGACTAAGGTTTCCTGTTGGCTGCCAGAACTCCATAGCTGGGTCTCAAGTCAAGAAACGATCCCAATTCAGAACAACACTTGATCACACCCTTAACTTGAACTCCATTGGAGTCGGTTAGAAATTCAGCACTGTCTTCCTTTGTGAAACAGTGGAACTTGTGTTTTTCAACATGCTGTTCTGAACAGAGGAGGACTTAAGCATGTGTTCAAGTGGCTTCCTGAAGTGGAGCCATAATCTTTGGGGCCTCTGAAAAAAGTTCATAGTGCATGTTGTCTTTTGGGGCTACCACAAGACAAATGACAATTAGTAATTTTATATTACTTCAGCGCTTTCCTGAGAGAGGTGCCATGTCCTGAGAAATGTGTGGGAAGTAGGAAAAAAAACAACAAGGGCAACATATTGGACCCTTGCTGAACCAAAACGGGTAGCTGACAACCAACACCCAGGAAAAAAGCTAATCTCCTCAATGATTACTTTGCGTCGGTTTCCCACCAGCCCAAGGGGATCACCCTGCCTGACGGGATGCAGGGTGAGGGCAAACATACACCTACAATTGGTAATGATCTTGTGAGGGAACAGCTTAAGAGGCTGGACATCCAAAAGTCAGCTGGCCTGGATGGAATGCACTCAAGAGTGCTAAAAGAGTTGGCTGACATCATAGCATCACCAATGGTGAGGATATCTGAGAACGTGTGATGCTCGGGAGAGGTTCCAGAAGATTGGAAGAGGGTCAGTGGGGTGCCTATTTTCAAGAAGTATCAAGTGTCAAGTATTCAAGTATCTCCAATGCTTGTAGTATGGGGAACAAACAGGAGGAACTCACCCTCAGAATAGCCAGTTCAAACCCAGACATAGTAGGGATCACAGAAACGTGGTGGGATTCACCCCACGACTGGGCAGTTAGCATTGGGGCTATAGGCTCTACAGGCGGGATAGAGAAGGAAGGAAGGGAGGGGGTGTGGCGCTCTATGTCAAAGAGCAATTCACATCCTCTGCCAGCAAAATGGGGTCGGAGGAGGGGCAAGCGGAAGTGCTCTGGGTCAAGATACAAGGGGGTCGTGGGGAGAGGGATTTAACGGTGGGGGTCTACTACAGACCCCCCAACCAAGGGGAGGAGCTGGACCAGGAATTTTCGGGCCAGCTTGCAGAGACACTTAAGGCAAGGGATGTAGTTGTCATGGGTGATCTAAATTACCCGGACATC